ATGGGAAACTGGTACTTGTACATCTCATCTTAGTCATTTTTTATCTTTTTTTATAATTGATTACTTCTTGGTAGAGATTAAACTAACTAGGATAATTTACTCTTCTCCAACTATCCCCAAGTAAGCATGAGAAAATAATGTTCATATACTTGTGAACTTAATTAATTCATCATAATTTTTCTAATTTCTATTACTTAGATTTGTAAATTATTTGCAATTCAGTATATGTAGTAATCAGAAAAGTTTATATTAAGACCATTTTCAAGAATCTGGTCATCTATTCAAAAATAACTTTTTTGAAAGGTAAAGCTAAGATTTTGAAGGCTTAAGAAAAGATATCAGAGATACAATTCTACTAAAAACTGGGTTCAATATATAATCCTTAACAAGCATTGTGAAAGTCTTGATGCTGTTCAGCCAGTCTATGATCTCACTAACTCCAGAAAATATTATTTCTCTACCTATTTCTTTTGTTCTCCAAATTTTAAAAATCAGATTTAAATTAACTTTTGCCATTCTGTCACCTAAAATCAGTTTTTCTCAGAGAGGAATATACATATATGCTATATTCATTGCATATACATATATGCTATATTTACAACATTGTTGTCACAGTATTTCATATGTATTCTCATTAGGTCATTAAGAAAACAAATTCATTAAATATATTCAAAACAGATACTTGAGATTTCATGTATTGAAGCTTTATTTTAAAATCAAACTTTGTATAGTGTTGGCTTCTGTGAATACAAAATGCAGTACTTGGAGGCATTTATTGAACTGCAAATAGTTCCTTATGTTCTTTGTTTTAAATCAGTAACTGTTTAAAATGTGTGCCTTATGCATATTGATACAGTTCTTCCCAATATACTAATACATAGTATGGCTCAAAAAGCTGAAATCTTATGAAGCAATTTTCTCAACAGAAAATTTAACAAGGTGGGTATGGGTATGATGATGCATACCTGCCATCCCAGCTTCTGGTTAGGAAGAGGTAGGAAGATCATTTGAGCTCATGAATTCAAGGCCAGCCTGGGACAACAAAGTGAGATCTGCCTGAAAAAAAAAAAAACACCTCACAAAATAAAAAGAAAATAATAATGTACAAGAACTCTAATAGGACAAAACTGGAAGCATCAGCATCCAGTAGAGAAAAATGATTTGCAAATTGTTAGCATAATTAAATAATTTAGCCCTTGTTGTAGAGCTGTAAAAGTACAGATTAAAGTTTAAGAAAATTTTAAAGTAAACAGAAGTACCTAAAGTTATGTGTATTTAACAACTATATAAAATACTGATATTTAGAAATGAATGAAATTTATAAACGTGAAGAGAATTTAGGGGTTAGTGTAATCCTCGTGCCATGTTTAGCTGAGGAACTTATACAATTGGGAAATAAATTGTGTTTTTTAATTACCATTGTACAAGATGGAAGTTGGTATTAGTCACTTTTCTGTCACTGGGACAAAATACCTGACATCTACAGCTTAAGGAGGGGCAGTTTATTTGGTGCCTGGTTTCAGAGGGTTCAATCCATGATTGATTAACTCTAAAACAGAAATGGCATCATGGAAGCACATTTGTGGAAGAAAACTGCTCAACACATAGCAGGAAGACAGAGAGAAAAGAAGAGAGAGAGAAAGAGAGAGAGAATGAGGGCGGGAGAGAGACTGGGGGAGGGAGAGAGAGAGAGAGAGCACTCAAGGCACATTCCCAGTGTCCAGTGACCCACCTCCTCCACTTCCTAAAAGTACGTTCAACTATGAACCCGATCAACTGATTCATTCACTGACGAGGTCATCATCCCCATGGGATCCCCATGGGATTTTAGATCCAAACCATAACAGACCTATCTAAAATGTAGATGATCTAAAGTTAATTGATCACTGGAGAATTAGAAACAAAAAACTAATGCCTATATTTTACTCAGTAGTTATGCAGTCATATTTTTGCCATTATTGTATGTTTTGTAAGTTTTGGAAGGATTATACTGCTGACCTTAAGTGTTAATGGAGAAGCAAACTAAGTATACTGGCAATATTACTTTATGACATTACACATTTAAGTGAAAATTAACTGTAAGATTGTGCATATGAAAAGGATGTTCAAATCTGTGACAAATTGGTATGCTTAAATCAGTTTCTAATTTGTATGATTCAGTTTGTTATAATTTATTCATAAAACACCATTTAATACATTATGACACCAAAATGTAAGAATAGTAATGAGGTTTCCAACAGGGATAAATTTATTATCATTTATTAATGGTGAGTGTGTCACAATTTAAATAGTGAATTAATTCTGAATAATTTTTCTTATTTACCATGCCATCCATTACTGTTTTATCTCATAAGGTAAACTTCTATTTCTTAGCTATTTCTATGTATGTCATTGAAAAAATATATCTCAGTTCCACCAGAAATTTTTCACTGACTAGTGAGCAAGAGTTTTAATTCTTGGTTTTTTTCTAAGAAATTTAAATGTACATTCCCCCAGGTCTTTGTGAGGCTGAGGCAGGAGGATTGCAAATTCAAGCCAGCTTGAGCAATTTGATTATTTAGCAAGAATCTATGTTAAAATAGAATACATTAAAAAATAGTCTAGGTATGTAGCTCAGTGCAAAGGCCTTTTGTTCATTCCCAAGTGCAGAGAGAGAGAGATAGAGAGAGAGAGAGAAAGAGAGAGCAGGTGGAGGGAGAGAGAAAGAAAGGAAACAAAGAGGAAGAGAGAAAGAGAGAAAGAAGGAAAGAAAGAAAGAAAGAAAGAAAGAAAGAAAGAAAGAAAGAAAGAAAGAAAGAAAAGAAAAGAAAAGAAAAGAAAAGAAAAGAAAAGAAAAGAAAAGAAAAGAAAAGAAAAAAGAAAAGAAAAGAAAAGAAAA